ATTTGCGAATACCCGATTAGATCGAAGATCAGTTTCCAGCTATATATTTTATTTAATGATAAATTAGGCGTACTATTCGTAGTTGGAGATCGATGTTCGATCAATGTGATCAATATTCTAAACCAAGTGAATCTTTAATTAATAAGGGTTTAATGTTCTGTCACCTTTAACAGATTTTGATTGGGTTCTGTAATCTATTCTCATCTTTGAAATATACATTGTATTAATTACTATAGAGTCCTAATCCATTAAGCATTTACCTGGATAACTATCAGATATCCGGATCTGAATTTATTCGGATATTCATTTACTATCCATTTACTAATAATATCCGGATAATTATCCGATTACCTATCGGATATCTGAGCGATTAGATACGGATAAACGGACTGGAGCTCTAAATTACTAAATATATATAGTGCACGAACTTATTAAAAAAACAAATGGGATTGGTGCTGGAAAAAAGGAACGAAATTAACAAAAAAAAATTTTATACAAAATTACAATGACCTTAACTGACCAATCAGATGTTTTAAACGGACAGACGAGACGCTTAAAATTTTAGTAGTATATAGATAGATTTTGATCTATACGTATCATTTCACCAACAATAAAATCTGTTTTCATGCATATCGGCAATACTATACAGAATTACATAACTTGCATCCGCACATCTCTAATCTCTAGTATGAGTTAGCTAGTAGGTTTTTGAAATATAGCTCTATACCTCTGTAGTGAAGTTACAGAATAGTTTGAGAGAACATTTTTGAACATTTTTAAAAATTTTAAAACTAAAATTATTCAAAATTTTATTAAGATAATTTATATTAATTTCTAAGCTAAAAATATTCAAACCCTAAAAAAATATATACAGTATATAATTATGTATTTTTTAAAAAAATTTTATTAATTATTAAAGCTTGAACATGCTTTGAATACTCTTGAACACTTGGATACTCGGGTATTAATCAGTGCCAAAAAAGGTTTTGACAGTAAAAACATACATTACTGCCTTTAGTAATATTGCCACTAGTAATAAATACCAATATTTTAGTATTAGGCATTAAATATAAATTTTACTTTTAGTAAATATATAAATCTAACAAGAATCTGATCTTACTTTAGACTTCGTGGTAGCTTATTATGAAGTTTAAAGTCAGATTAGAGTAAAGATTCAAAAACTTGAAAATCAAGTTTTGTTTGATTTTACCGAGCACTAGGTCAGCATTTTAGCTAATGCCGGCTAACTTTGTCAGTATTATGTCCTTTTGGGAATCTGTCTTTCGGTAAAACCATAGTATTGTTTTATATTTTAACTAAAGTAGAAATTTAATTATTTTAATATAAAATTTTTAAAATTATTAAAATAGATTTTTTTCACTTTTTTTAATAGTTAGATGGTTTTTATAATAAAAGAGTATAAATAAAAATTATATTTTTATATTAGGATTTTTAATTTACAATAAATATAATTAACATAGAAAGCTTAATTAAAATTTTACAATAGTTTACTCTAAAATAAAATTTATATATCATATTTGCCAATTTGATTTTTAAATTCTTTTTTTAAATAGACTATTATACTAATAAAAAAGTTTTTCAGTTTTATACAAGATAAATAAAAATAATTATTAATAAAATGCTAAGTTGTAAAAAAAGCATTATTGCTCTTGGTCAAAACATTTAGATACTGTATTCTGAGTAGTTAATAATTGGTTTGTTCTCTGTAATTATTTTTTTAAAAAATAGCCTTTTTTTTAACTTATATGCTTAATTATAAATCCAAGATAAGTTTAAAAGACTGTTTTTATGAAAGATCCGCTTTACTTTGCCGGCAATAATTTCACCGACAGCTCACTTAGTCAACATGACAATTTACTAAAAATATATACTGCAATTAATAAAACGCTAACCCTATCCCTATGTGATGTCGACTAAGTGAACTTTCGGTGAAATGATTGTCGGTGGAGCGGTACCGTTTTATGAAAACTTATTTGTAAACAAAATTTTATTTGGCTAATTCTCAATTATTATTGGCTATTTATTTGGTTAATTCTCAATTATTATTGGCTGATTTTGTACATTTTAACTTATTTTATAATAAACTTATTATAAGCCTAGTACAACTTACACTATAGTAAAAGACTAAATATAAGTTACTCTCGTTACAATAAGTGATCTGGCTATAGGATTTTCTTTACTATATCGAGAGAATTTTCTATAAACTTCGAGAGTCCAGTATAATGAAAGTAAATTGTATATAGATTTAATAAATTCACTATATCATATCAACTAATTAGCCAATTATAGTTGAGAACTATTTGTTGTTAAATTTATTACAAAGTGTGTTTTTACAAAAATGGCCTTTTAAACTTACTTTGAATACATAATTGAGTGTATAGAATATTGTAATATCTATATGTTTAATTATTAATTGAAAGAAAGTCCTGAAAAATTGCTTTCGAATTCACCCCTACTATTATTTACCGATCCAAAATTACCAATAAATAGTGATAGTGCCTTCTTTTACAGCTTAGCATAACTGTTTTTTTAATATTTATATCGCACAGAGACTAAAAAAAAAGATTTTAAGTGTTTTGTTTATTCTTTACATCACTTAACAGCAAAAGTTTGTGTAATGATTTATCGAAAAAATGGCCTCATTATAATGTATTTAATCATTATATCAAGGGCTCACAATAAGTAATAGTTATCAGTCGTGTCGTAGATGATAACTGATTATTCATCTACTAAAGACTCGACTAATAACTTCATTATCCGACATTCTGACGTAAGCATTGAGTGATTTCCATGTAACTTATTCGGTCACTTCCTAATACAAATATGCAAACATTCACTCACTTCGTAAGAGGTGAGTGAATTTTGTATATTGTATTAGCAAGTGACCGAATAAGTTACATGGAAATCATCCAGTGATCAAATAGGACGTATCGGATAACATTTGCTGTCTGTGCATCAACCAATCAATAATAAATATACGCGTATGATCAATTAGAACGCTGAAAATTTAGGCCATTAACACCTTTTTACTAAGTATGTTATCCTACTTGTCCAATGGAACTCGAATTTTGCGGTCACATGATTTTCATTATCACAAACAAGTTTGAAATCGATTAGTTGAGCAATGTTTGATCTGTAATAAACTTTAGACCAGGTTTCTTTTTAAAAAAAGGTCAATTTAATGTGGCGTGATATGATGACAATTAGTCGTTTAGTTTGTTTTTTTTTAAATATAAATATGCGTTTCTTTTCTTTTTTTTTTCTTTTTTTTTTTTACTTCTAACGCTCTTGAAGAATACCCTTATGGCTGTTGAGAAAAATTGTAATCCCTTGAACTTCTGGAAACGTGATCCACCAATATACGCTATTCCGGGCCCTTGAGAATGGTAAGGGATTACTTGTTCGTGCAAGCGACAAGCATACCGAGCAAAGAAATGTTTTTGAAAGTAAAAAATGCAATCAATCCGATACGTAATAGGTTTGTCTGAAGAAAATGCCTCCACAAACCTCTGCTTAAAGACCTGGTATGAAGCGGGTATTATTGACTAATAAAGGTTAATAAATTGGATAAATAAGTAACATCGATAGATGCAATAACATTATAATGCAAAAATTTATATATTTTTTTATTAAATGTAAATTTCATGTAATTAGAAAAAAATAAAAACGATAGCAGGTTTTATTGAATTGCTCATACAAACATAACGATAATTATTAATACACTTATATGGACTGAGTCTGAGAATCGGTTTTATATACTGTAAATGCTCCGAACAGTGCTCCACCGGGTTTATAACACAAACTAACTGGTTGGAGCAGCCTACTTTTTACCCTTTAACATCACATGACTTTGTATACGCGTACATACGTACGAACGTATCAGTATAGTAGCATTTGATTTAATTGGATATTTATATTACCAGTAACAAAATATTTTTTTTAGATATTATTTTGTCATAGAAAGTTTTCGCTCAAAGTAGTTATATCAAAATCCTTATAATCAAAGATTATTTATTGAAAACCGAAACTTTATCGTGTGATCAACCCTAAAAAAGCTCGGGTCCGAGCTGACCTTTTCTCATCAGAAGTCACCATATCTATATCAAACGTGTAAAAAGATATCATGTCAATATTAAATTATCTGGTTTTAATGTTGGTTGATTATCTATGCACCCGAATATTTCTTATTTTATAATCGTTATTTGCCAATTTATTATTTAATTAACCAATTAATGAATATTAACATTTAATTTCTCAACCTTAGAAGAGAATCGATTCTATCCTATCTTTTATCGACCGGTCCAGCCCACGAAGTTGCAGGCTGAAGGCCGACCCCCTATCGACCGACCGGTAGGCTAGGGCCAGCCCGTATCACTAGATCAAGTATTCCACCAACTTTTATTAGAACCGATTCTGGCAATTCCAACATATACGGTATTACGATATTAATATTATAATAGTATTTTTTAACGTTATTTTTTAACGATAACTTTTAAAGACCAATGATTATAAAAATAATATTTTCTTTTGAATACCGTGTTTTCGCTTATGAGCGTTATTTAGAATAATGGCCCGAATTAAGCTTAATTTGGGCCAATTTTGAAATTACACTCCTGCGCGTTATTTCGCGAAAATACGGAAAATGTTTGAATTTCACGTGAACAAATGTAAAACAAAACAATCGTTTCACGAAATACTATAAAGTTTCTGAGATACAAATATTTGAGATAATGAAAGTTTAATTTTGTCAATCAAGTTCTTCAATCAACCATCACGCTAGTATCAATACATACGTACGTACGTAATTAGGCATGACGAAATAAATATGTAAAGATTTCATTTGATTCAGTAGAGAACATAGTAAAAATTTTGGTGATAAATTAGTATTCATGATGTATATATAAAAGGTTTCTTTTTACTCGATTCGCCTTTTTTTTTCATTCGTAACACACTAATATACCAATCCTTTCTTTAAAATAATGTCATTAAAAGGACCAATTCTTCATCGTTCGGCCGATGAAATCGAACAAATGACCGAACAAAGATTAGAGCCGGTTGCAGAAACCATCAGAGAAAAATCTATGCGTGTCTATGAAGCTATGGGACATATTAGAAGTTATGTGAATGGCATTGTTCGATCATTTCTTACCCAAGCATTTCATTTCATTCGAGTCGCAACAGAACCGATCTATCTTACATTTAAGTCTTTCTGGTTCGTATATTTTTTTTATTCAAATACTTAAAAATTCTGATCATATAATTTAATCAAATTCAATTTTTAAATAGGGACACTTTTCCTCCTTTTCGTTGGTTTATCTATACTGTTCTCTCTTTTAACGCGATTCCTTTCGCTATTTTTGCTGGATGGGGTCTTTTAACTTTTGCTTTAGTGTCAGCACTAGCTGGAGTTGGTATTGTGATCGCTCAAGGCATCTTTACAATTGTTGGATTCATTGTTTTTCTACCCGTGGTTGCTATCCTTATTCTGGTCGCTTTCATATGTGTAACATTTATGACTTTGGCTTGGTTTGGTTTTAAAATTAGTGGCTCAGTACAAGTAAGTTTCATTACTCTTGATCTATTGATATATTATTTTTATTTTATCTAATTTAATTTAATTTATCCTTTTTCATTTATTATTTTATAAAATCTTTAACGTTAATATATATACTATAAAAATCTTAAATTATAAAGAATTTCATTGGTATTACTTCACAAGAACTTGCCGTTGATTTGAAGGGAATCACAAAAGGAATGAAAGATGTTGTGACAAAACGTTCAATTACATAATTTAGAGCTTCTTTATATTCTTTTAATGGAAATCTACATTCAGCAAGTACGTATAAGATAGTAACATTTTTACGCATGATAAAAATCAAGAAATCACTCGCTATCTTTAGAACATACCCCCAAGATGTAAAATCATATTTGGTTTATTATCATTTTATTAAACGCTTATGAATGATTTTCTCCAGAAACAAACGATTAATTATTGAAAATCCAAATTTTCTTATTTTTATCCATCAGTTAAACTTCATTTAAATCGGCAAAGATTTTCTAATAGATCGATTAACATTAGTTGGATCAACTCTTTATAATAAATATCTGAAATTATGCAAATTATGTTATCAATCGTTCAAATTATTTGATGCTTTGAAAGTTTAAATTGATTTATTTTCGATTTCGTATTACTACAAATTTTTAAATAGTGAAAAAAGAGTATGATCGGTAAAGATCACCATTAATGATTATGATCAGCACGTGCTATATTTTAAAACTTGAATTATGATCAGCACGTGCTATATTTAAACTTGAATGTGATTATATCATTGCAAGAATTTTACACATGTTAACGTTAACAATATTATATAAAAAGACAGTTTATCCTGAACTTCCAAACCCTGGTCATCGTCCAAATTCCATGAGATTTATCATCTATTTAGTTGGAGTATAGGTTAATCTGTGAAAACTCTTTTTTTATTTCTTGAAAATTGTACAACATATTTATATTTGTTTCTTATCGTTTAAGGATAAATTATAGTTAAGTATTCGTGCTACTCACAATTAATTTTCATGCTCTTCCAGATTTATTTGCTTGTTTTCTTTTCTTTTTTGAAAATCTCACGAATTACCTCATTGTTTTTAGGATAAACAATTCCAGTGTTCATATCATTTACCGTTAATTTTCATGCTTCCAGATTTATTTTCAAAGATCTCCCTTCTTATTTTAGTGATAAAGAATGTGGGGGCAATAATATTAATTACTTTATGCATGTGAATCTCTAATTTTATCATATAGTTTAAATGATTCCTGGGAAATTTTATAATATATAGCTATATTAAATGGGTATGTATATAGTAATTGTATAATATATACTTTATATAGTATGTATGATTTATGTATATATATACGTAGTATATGTGTATATAGCATGTATATACATAGCATGTACAGTATATAGCATGTACAATATATAGCATGTATATATTATGTTTATTCTACTCAATTTTATAAATGACGAATTTGTGTAATCGTTATCGTCAAAGTTAATCTGCGTTTATATGAATATCTGAAATTCTTATAAGTAGGTTGTGTGTTTGGATATCCTCTCTCTACTTAAATTACATACTCTTGTTTAAAAAATCGTATTTATTTCAAACTTTTCAAACATAACAATTATAATAATATTAAATATTAACATAGAATTTTATTGTAACTATGGGAATAGCTAGTTCTAAATCACCTCGACCCAGGAAAGATAGAAGTTTTTCAGTACCTGATATTAAAAAAGATCAAATTATACAGAATTGTATGACAAAGAGAAAATATTCTGCTTCTTATATACTCCCTTTAGATGACGATGAGGTTGATAGAATGATTTTACAACACTATATTTTTCGAAATGTTTGGAAAAATGATTTTTCTTCACCTGTTGAAAGTTCGTTAGAAAGTGGGGCAAAAATGTTAGACATAGGGTAATTATCATATAAGAAATTTGACTTGGTTTCTTAACTTTTTACGAATCTTGCTCAATTGTTCGGATTTGATAAAATTGATAAAAATTAGATGCGGTCCTGGAGTTCTTGTTCTTGAACTTGCTAGGTTAGTTTACTATTCAAATCATTTAATTTATTTGATCAACATATTCTTTGTTTATATTCATTCCATCCTTTTTAATATATATTTAATACAGTAAATATCCAAAGTCACATTTTACAGGATGTGATATTGTCGCAAATTATCCTCTTCAGATTAAACCTGAAAATAGCACATTCGTGAAGGCTAATGTTATTGAAGGGCTACCTTTTCCTGATAATACGTAAATATCTTATTTGTCTCGATACCCTGGATTTTGTTTTGAAGTTAACCTTCTCTATCTTTGCTATACATATATATGCGTATATAACTATCCATATATAGATTTGATTTTGTATATGTAAGTGTTACTTTACTGTGATTACATATTACATAATTTTATCTAATAAAATTTTATCTCCGTTTTTAGATGAGATTTATGATGTTTGCATTAACGACAAAAGATTGGCCACTTGCCATTAAGGTAAATAAATATACACAAACGCATATATTTGTAATCATTATTTTTTATAAATGCTTTTTGCTTGTAATTATTATTAGGAAATGATTAGAGTTACAAAACCAGGAGGATGGATTGAAATAATGGAAAGGTAAATTATTTATATAATATACTATAATATAATATAATATAATATAATATAAAAAGAATTTATTATAATTATTTCCTAATTTAATTTATTCTTTTCAGGGATATTTTTTGGTACAATGAAGGTGAAGCTGTAAAAACTTGGAGGCAAAGGGGTAAATTTTTTTTATTCTTGATTATATATTTGAATTTCTTTTAAAAAATAAAATATAAAAACAGTAAATTGATTTCGGGGATTTTTTTTCTAGTTGTTGAGGGATTAAAAGCAGAAAAAGGGATTGACCTTCTAATAAGCCCGCAAATACCTATTTATCTTGCTGCAAATAAATCATTAACCAACATTTCAAGAGACGAGAGGATCGAACCTTTAGGCTCATGGGGTGGTGTTTTGGGTAAATATAAATTTTGGCTTTCTTTTAAATGCTTTATATACTAATTATAATAATTTTTTATGATTTCATAGGTAAAGCTTATGGACAACTGGTAACGTGGGGTGCTAAGAACCTTTCAGAAGCTGTTTCTAATATACAATTCCAAGAAGGGGATTATAGTATATTAGTTGATATTGCGATGAAAGACTTGGATAGTAATAAAGCATTTGACAAAAGTCATCGATTTTGGGCAATGAAAAAAACACTTGGTTAGAAAAAAAATTACTTAATTAAGAACAGTTTTTATTGGTATTCATTACCTTTAAATTTTTTATTGTAACAAATGTACATTTTTTCATTTTTTTTTAAATCTATGTATAATTTATGACATCATTTTTAAATAATATTTCATATGTAATTATATATGTAGTTATGTAGTTATGTAGTTGAATTTATTAAATTAAATTTAACAAAAGGCAAATCTTTAAACGATTCAATTAATTATTCCAATCTCCAATGTAATTTCGTCGTAATGACATGTAATTTGAAATTGACTATTATTACTGTTCTAGACGTACAGCCGTTTTCAAAAATGTGATTTCCATATACCTATGTGGGAAATCGGGAATGTAAAAATTAAACTTCCGATTAGAGCGGCCATGAAAACTCCGGAAATCTGGGAAATATCATGAATTCCCCATGATATTGTGATCTGCGACCGTTCACATCCTTTTGAAAACGTATTAAGTCACAGGGCACTTCTCAATGAATTCGGTAAAGAATCTGATTGGCCTTATCTTATGTGGCCATTATTAAGGGTTTGGGAACGAAAAAAAAAAATACAATAAGGGCGTTCTCAAGCATTTCCCTCAACAAAAGAATCTGATTGTCTTTCTGATCAAACTGGCCAATCTGATTCTTTATGGTATTCATCGAAAGATGACGCCATAAACTTGCTGGTTCAAATTTGTCTAGTCGAATTGGTCAAATGGTCTTGTCTATTGTCACGGGTAAAAATGACATCATAGGCGTAATTCTTGCGGAGGCTTAGATAACTTATGAAATTTATCATCTGAATGACGTGATAAATATCATGCCACTATAAAATAAGGTGAGTTATTTTTAAGCTCGTTAGTCTAAAGGATGTATAATAACTATATACATAGTATATATATATATAATTGGAAAATTTTCAAGTACGTACGTAACTTTTTTTTTTATACATCCTGTACTAATTAGCTGCGACATACATTATTAAGTCGTTATTAGTTTAATAATTCGATTAATTAATTATATAATTATTATTAATAATTCAGGTGGTCTCATTATTACGTATACGTATACCGACACTAAGTTGTAAAAAGAAATACTATCACTAGGTGTTGAAATGTTTAAGGGTCGGTTGGTCATTGAATGATCGGTTGGAAAATGTATAAGGGTGGATTCGGAAGCGTATCTTCAAGAAAAATGACCTTTTAAAACCTTTTAAACGTACTTTTTAACTTAGAATCAAACACGTATATAGCATGATTTTCTATATATATACGTACGTATATATTATAGATTCAATTCAAGTTAGAAATACTATTTGTTTTGTAAGCCTAATATAGTAATCACTTGCGACTGGCTAAATTTGAGATTTACTACCAGAAACACAGAAAAGTTCACGCATAGAGTTGGAAGTACCCGACAATCACGTGAAATGTTTCAATTTTCGCGTGACTGCAATTGACCAATAAAATTAATGTATTTCGACATTCTTGCACATACTGCGCCAAAAACATAGTATTTTTTTAAAATGCTAAAACTTTTACAATCAAATATTTTTTTAAAAAACGACCTATAACTTTATACATTGAACTAAGCACTACAAAGTTATCGGTTAATTTTTTTAAAAAAGATTTTCTATAAAGGTTCATACCGATTTGAAGATTGAGGTTTTTTTTCGAACAGGTATAACTTTCCACAGGAGAATTTTTTTAAAAAAATTAACCGATAGTTTTGTAGGGCTCGTTTGTATGTATAAAGTTATCGGTCGGTTTTTTTGAAAAATTTGTCTTTAAAAAGTTTCAGCGTTTTAAAAAATGATATGTTTTTGTCGCAGTATGTCAAAAATGTCGAAATACATCAAATTGCAGTCACGTAAAAATTGAAACATTTCACGTGATTGTCGGGTATAAGCTTCCGGAACCATATAGTTTCGAATTTATTATTAATACAGTAATAGTAATAGTGATTAGGTTTGTGACTTCAATAATGAGTTCATAATTTCAGCAGTAGATGGGTTCATAATTTGTCGAGAAATGCACTAAATAGGTAATTTTGCATGTACCGATATTTATGATTTACCAAATTTTGATTAGACAAAAATGTATATGTTATAATTTTAACATTGAATAGGTTTATTCACTATCGAAAGAATTTTATTTAGAATACCTTGTGCTTAACTTCACTATATCAAATTTTAATTAGTCCTCACCATACATAAACCAAAAAAAATGACTGTCTCTTACTGCTGAAATCATGCTCTTTTGTCTTGTTCTTGGTGATGCAGTCAAAAATGCATTCATGATCGATATCAATAAAGATATGACTATTTCTCATTTAAAAAACTTAATTAAAGAGAAGAAAAAAAATACTTTTCAAAATGTTGATGCTGATGACCTCGTGCTCTGGAAAATTACTGCTATTTCTATCAACAAAGAAACCATGAAAATGAAAATATGTATCGATATCAATATAGAAAAAGAACTTGGAGGCACAAGGTTATTACCATCTGAAGCTATAAAAGATCATTTTAAAGAATTAGAGAGCAAAGACATTCAAATCATAATACAGCCATCTACCATTGGTAAGTATCTCTTATTAGTCACAACTTTGAATTTGTTATGAATGCAACCTATTGAATATTATTGCTAATATATGTATATTTCTAAGATTTTATTGAGATTTTATTAAACATGGTTCTTTTTTTCTATTCTTAAAAAGCATCACTTTCTATAGATAATATAATCAATGCTGGTTTAAAAATGGAAAAAGTGAATAGTCCTTCTGTAACTATGGACAAGTATATAGAGAGACCACATTTAAGATATTTCATTCAAGATCGACTAGAAAATAACATAGATGCTTTTATGAGAGAAAGTTGTTGTCCAAATGATTACCAAGGAATCAGTATTTCTGGTAGTTCTGGCATTAGAAAAACCCATCTCAGATTTGAAGCAATAAACATGATCAGCAATTTAAAAAAATAGAAAATAATTTTAAAGTCATTTATATATTTTTTCAGATTAATCATTTCATTGTTGATTTTGAAAAAAGACCTGAACCTAATCCAACTACCAAATGTTATCCTCATATATTAGAACATGAAGAACTTGTGAGTCAATATTTAGCATTATTGATTTCTACCTATTGGTTTACAAACAATTGGAGCTTGTGATTTTTATCACAATTCAAAAGTCTTGCAAGAAATTCTGCTATGAACTTACAAACAGTTTTATTAGCAATTTGGCATTTTTGTCAAATATCTAAACAATCTAAACTTTTGATACTTTTACAACTTGATGAATATCAACATGACCAATACTTATTAACAGTAATTTTGTGGTTTATCTCTTCACTCAATTGTGATAAAAACATCAAACAGCTTGATGCTTTAATTGTGTCTATTTGTACAGGTACAGCCCTGACTAAAATTGAGAAACCAGGTGATCCAGAACATCTAAACATAACTGATTACAAAGTTTATGACATACCTATATCTCTTATGGATATAGAAGCACTACTTGATTTTATAGATTCAGTTATAGAATATAAAACAAACAAATTCAACCTAATCTCACATGAAAATCCATTATATCACATTCTGATTGGTGCTGTCTAAGGAATTGCAATTATTATAAAGCAGTATACTTATGAAATTATAAGAATGGAAGGTTTCTTTACTTTAGCAGAACAAGCCAAGAAAATTTGGAAAATTCTCATTGATTGGTTAAAGAGAAGATATATACTTAATGACTAGCTATATTGTATTGGAAAAAAAATTTCTAAAGATAATAAAGTCAAATGTAAACATGCTGTATTAATGTTGATATTTTGAATACATATCCAAAAGTTAATCACTAAGAATACCACTCTGAGTAATAGTACTATAGAAGATTATAAAGTTGGAGGTCTTATTTTTTTAAAGGCAGTTGATGGCATTCATTATAAAGCCAAAGCACCTCTAGCATTAATAGTGTCTCTAGTTTTACACTTGAAATTAGATTTCTTCAATGATATTGTTTTAAACCCATTTAGTTGACTTGATGAAGACACCTTCCCAATATTTATTATAAAAATATATCTAATTACATATAGATTGGCAGAAATAATTGGAATTCATAGCATGACAATTAAAGAGATTTATTTTGGCTACATAATGGCATCAGAAGAAATACTATCCAAGACAATTAATATTTATCATGATGTAGAATATAAAGCAGTACCTCTCTTAGAAATGAGAAAAAATGTTCCTAAACATCTTTTCAATTACAACAATCTAACAAATCATAAAGAGGTTTTGGTTATTGCAGATACAAATAATGGTAGTACGAAAATTATAAACATAACAACAGGTCATTATTTTGTTATAACACGAAAATGCAATAAGTCAGCAGATGCTTTGACACTTTATGGAGATGAACAGTATAAATTTAGTGCTGCTATAATATCAGGTCACCCTGTATATAAAACATCTATTGATGAAATTGACTTAGAGGAGTTTAAAGCAGAATTAGAAAAGCACAGGGTTGTGAATTCTTTGCTTTGATTACTACAAAGCAGTTTTTGTATGAAGTTAATGAACTTTCTCCCAAAACTGGCATTATATTTGGAGATTTACTCCTGGGTTTTATAGGAATATACGGAGACTTAACTAAATTTATTGCATTGCCCAGATAAATTAGAGAAGATTAATATCAATTAAGTTTAAGCAGTATTGCTATTTTGTATACATAAGATATATCTGCTTCAGCTCAATGCATAAAAATAAATCATTGCATTTTATGTGATTTTTCAAATTACTATAATGTGAATTTTGTAAATTTTATAAGACAGTTCAGTACAAATAAGGGAGCCAACAGAAAAGAGCTCATATAAACCACCCTCTATACCCCTCTTTATACTCTCTTTTACCACTTTATACCCCTTTTTACCACTTTTATCTTCTTTATCCTCTTAAAAAGAGAGTAAAAATTGTAAAAGAAAGGATAGGAGGGGAAGAGAATAGGGGTTATATGAGCTTTTTTTTTGTTAGTTTTCTAACTAAAAATCCAAATTATTATTTCAAAATTTGAATTTTTGCATATAACACAAGTTGAATCAATGAATATCGGGTGCATACCGGGAGATATATACCCATTAGTCTGCTATAGATCTGCCAAATTCCTGCTGAATATCAGTAGCATATTGGCAGCATATTGGTAAAATATTGGAAGGTAGCAACATAATAGCAAAATATTGGGATACTCCGATATCTTACTTTTAGGCCCAGAGTGCTAAGAATAAGATATCAGAGTATCCCCAACATCACAAGGTCATTTTATCTAGGGTTACGTAGAATTTTTATGTAGAGTTATGTAAGATTTTTATGTAGCTTTATAAACCCAATGTAGATTTTACATACTATTTATATAAATCTATATATATATATATAATTATGTAAAGCTTACAAAAAGTATAACATCTAAATTTCCAAAGAGTTTTTAACTTTTGTATGTACAATAAAAAACAAATCATGTGCATTAAGCATATTGTATTGTCTCGAGATCTTTGCATTCAAAAAAAAAAAAAAAAATTAAGAATCTACAGTATAATACCAATAAATAATTCAAAACCAATTGTTAATTGAAGATGTTTACAGTTGAACAATGAGGTAAAAAAAGTGTAATTCATTGTTGTGTTGCCACCATATAGGGGGCATTCATAATTTACATTAAACCGGTAATGTTATAGAGATCTTAAAGATAATACAAAATTATATAATATGGTATTATATTCAAGGTACAATGCAGTACTGGTTTAACTTCAACGTAAATTATGGATGCCCCATATATATAAAGATCCAAAAAGATACCAACATGCATTATTTTTCCTAAGAATTTTTTACATAATATATATATATATTTGTACAGATAAATACCATCAAGTAACATTACATATTCTTTTGCGTTAATGTGAAATATATGGGGTGTCAATACGTAGAAACCAAGCAAATTGTTTTTAGTAAGTTTTTTTAAAACTTTAAATTATTAATTATCTCAACTATTAAATAAAACTTGATAAATTTTTTTTATTTTAATTCTATAACTATATAGAATTAAAATAAAAAATTTTTAAACAATTTGCTTGGTTTCTATTGACACACCATATAATCTAATAATTATATATTAAAAAAATACTAGAAAATTAGAAAAATTATTATTATCCAACAGAAAAAAAATAGGAATGGCATATGGAGGAACCACACAAATAACAGTGCCTTCGATGAGAGACGAAGATAGTCTGGGAGAATGGAGATTTAATCTGTTTGGCTGCTTTGACGATTGTGGATTATGTAATGAAATATTTGAACATATGACACAAAAGAATTTTGCCATAATTTCATCTTTCTACATTTAATAAGACATGACTACGTTTTGCTGCCCATGTGTTACTTATGTAAGTACTACAAAGATTTTTGATAAAAGTTCTTTATTTACATGATTTGTGATAAATTATCATGGGGTCGAACTAAAGATAAAATGAATCCTGAATCCGGTTTCGTTTGAACTGTGTAGTTTGGTGTACGGGCAAGTTATCGTTATCAATTGTATAATAAGCAATAAATATAATGATTTTAAATGGGAGTGTCACATCTCGTTGGGCCATGGTTCATGGGATATAGGAGGCGTATGCGAAACATTCCGGTAAGATCACTGATCAAGAAAGAAAAATAATTTTTTTTATGAATATTAGGGTACCTCATGTGGTGACTGTTGTGTTCATTGCTGTTGCCCGTATTGCGGTTTAGTTGCTTTTTAATTTTATTTAATTGATATATTTAAAATACGCAATTAATATATACAGTATAACAGATAATTAATAATAGGCGTAATTTTTTTCCCTAAAGACTTATCCAAGAAACAAGGGAATTTGTGTGACGGTTATTTTGTTATTTTCCTGTACGATACGAACTTGGTTTTGATCAGTGGACCTGATCTGATTCTTTATAGCTAGGATATCATTCTCCTTTGCACCTTGTACCTATATTGGATATATTTTTTTTCACACTTAATAAACAATTCTTTGTGACTGTACATTTATTGGTAGAATTTGAACACGTGAAAAAAATTTAAGCCATTTTTTGCATAGTAGATACAGTGTTGTTTTAAAAGTTTTAGACGTAATAATTACGTATTTAGTGACGTAAGCATATCCAAGTTTGGTGTTTAATATTCGAAAAGACGTAATATCATGTATTAAACGCCGATGTATACCACGTCAGGTAAGAACTGGTTTTAATATTCCATGTTCATAAATTGGAGATATATAAAAAAAGTATAACAAATATTAAACTGAGACAAGAATAGTATTTTAATATGCACAGAATCTTAACAGATTCGCTAGGACAGAAAAGGGTCCACATATAAATAGATTAGTATAGTAGTATAAACACGATTAAGAATTTTGTTTATTCGGTAACGTCTATTATTAAATATTTATTGGGAATCGTATACATTTTGAAAATGAAACATAAAGAAGTCTTGTTTTGTTCAGCCCACACGTGTAAGTAGACTTTATTCGCGTAAATATTGAGCAACTATGATGTATTTTCCGAATAGTATGGTCATAACTTTTACTGTATATAATAATCGTTTGGCGTTTTTTTTTTTTTTTCTTCAATTTGATAATTATTTTTTTTTGCAACCTGATGACAACACCAACACCCTTCGAAGCCTTCGAAGGATTTAGGGATGGTGCGACTTACCAACCAATACGTTCTTACTTGCAAATCATCTGCTCATAATGAATCCTCAATTACATCACCTACTGAGAATCTTTGTGTCTGTGACTTTAGATTAAATATTAGAGGATGTGCAGAAGAAAATTTGCTCGTGATCATAAACTTGTCGCTTTTTGTTTATTCCACATTCATTACTATAACTTCCATTTTAATCCTTTATTATTTCTTGAAAATTAAAAATCATTCAATTTTAATACCGAGGCTTAAAAACTGTAAATTTTTCTACAAGATTCGTTCATTTTATGTTATTGAAGGATCCATATTATTATTTAATTTTTGTAATTATCATTTAATTTTTTTTTTTTTTTGTAAATGTTTATTTTTGAAAAAGTAATAAATATATAATTACTATTTATTGATAGTTCGTGCAACCCATTCACTTTGCCTTCTTACGGGTGTGTATTCAAATACGACCGAAGCTGAAAGTAAGTACTTTAATATCTTTCATTCCTCTAAATTTGACCATTTATTGATTACTATTGACGTGAATTCAGTTGGCAATGACCTATCTACAGTTTTTTCCGGAATTCTATGCGCATTCTATCCACTATGTATACTAAACGCTAGCCCAATTGGAAATGATGTATTTGCATTAATTGTTTTCACTGTGCGGCGAACGATAAACAAAAAATCTTGTAATTTATACTGTGATTTCCTTGTCCATTTTGCTACTTGTAATTATTTTACCACTTTCATTCTTTTGTGGATACTATGCCGACATTGGTAAAATGGATAAAGCGATTATGTTATTTATGATACGTTACTTGGTTTGGTCCGTTTGGATCGTCTGTTTCATATTTCTGGTAATAAAAAAAAAAAAAATTCTTTTTTCTTTTTTTTATGTATTATTAAAGAAAACGTGTACATACTTATATAATTGTTTTACTCGAATTTATCAAGATAATTTGCATTTGGCATAAGTACGTAATGATAATATTAGATAGCATTCAGCAAGAAGAACGATATAATTTCAATGATGAGGATCTTAAGTTCAAATTGGATCGACTTAAATCAGGTGCTGGAAACGTATGTAAAAAAAAATTTTTACATATCTGATATTACACGTTCGTACGCACATTATTTTAATTACAAATTTATGTATTTTATTTACATAGCTGTTACGATCTATGTTTACTATTATGTTAGCTGCTATCTTTTATTCTACTCTATGCATAAGTTATGGCCTGTTTCACAAAACCGAAACGACATTTATACGTTCAATTAATATGATGTACATTTTGATCTGGAACGTCGCGATTCCTGGTTTTCTCCACATTTGTCAAATTATTCATATATTGAAGTATGTATTATTTCTTATATATCAAATTATATATGTATTTTCTAATTATAATTTTCTGAAATTATTTAAAATTGTTGACTTTAAATACTCTAAAGTTCTCTTAAAGTAATTTGCAGACGTTCAAATTTTGGTTATGGAATTTCTGGTAATCTAGTTATACCGTTGGTAACATCTCCAATAATCTCAAATTTCGAAATAATTCGAAATGAAAATAATGAAAATGGTATTTTAATTTTTTTTTTTTTTTTCAATTAAAAAAAAAATAAAATTTAATAATAATACTAAAAAAATTTTTTTCTTATCATCGCTTAGAACTACCTTATTACGTAAATTCTGTATATGAAGATGATCGTAAATTTCTTTCAAACAAAACTTCTACAAATAATATTAAAAATATTGAAGAATCAAAAATTTTTGAAAGAATGAGAGAAAACCAATTTAATCAAGTTATTGAGTCAAGCTCCTCTAAAATATCATATACCAGATCATCTAATGCCTCGACATCAATTTGTAAAGAAAGTTCGAAAGAGAGGAATGTTAACAAAGATTGGTTAATCGAGGCACCTAAAAAAGTTCTTATTCGAAATAGTTTTTCATCCTAAAACATCCACACATGATCTCTCTCTCTCAATATTTAATAATAATGTAATAATAGTTATAATTATAATAAATCATTTCATTTATTTAATCATTATCATTGATAAATATTACTGTATTATTGAATAGCAGTAATCATTGATGCCAAGAAAAGGCCTTGATCGAACGCTCATGATCATTTACTATAATAATAATAATAATAATCCTTATTATAAAATGCTTTTCTTTACAAAAAAAAATCTCTTCTAAAATAATTATCTTTTTATTGATGACGAATAAATAAATAAAATTTCGTATCAAGCGTTATTACGCTAATAACGTTGAATGATTCCATTTTTCTAAAATGAACTTTCTATCTTTATACTTTCTCAAGTCGAATGAAGACAAATCGGCTCCAACCGGCATAACGTAATCCCGATATGAACCTTATTTGAACCAGATATTTGGCGGAAATAGGAGACTTTTAGGATGCTAATCGGGTTCATATAGGCGTTCAATACATATCGGGATGCCGATTGCTCTATAGGTAAATCGATAAAGCTATTAGGCAAGCATTGTCGATTTACCAATTGAACTATCGGCATCCCGATATGTATTGAACACCTATATGAACCCGATTAGTATCCTAAAGGTCTCCTAATTCCGCCAAATATCTGTTACAAATAAGGTTCATATCGGGATTACGTTATGCCGGTTGGAGCCCGATTTGCCTTCATTCGACCTGTGCTAATATAATTGAAATTGTAAATCGAACCATATACACATTAATATATACGTTATTTTTTTTTTAAATCGAAGCTCTAAACCAGCTTTACACTGAAATAGGGCTATTTTTTTAAAAAAAAGTAAAAAATGCTAATAATAGAAGCCAAAAACACTAATTATTAGTGTTATAAATATTTTTTATAAAAAAATGATTAGTTTTGGGAAATTTGTACTTTAATTAATGATATGAAAATGCATCAGAAATTAAATTTTAGGGACACTTCAAGAACAATGATCACAGTGATGTAAAATCATTATTTGTTTACTAGCACTATCAAATTGACCTAAAGTATAATATCACCTAACCCTAACTTATTTAATCATGTGAAGTGATGATCACGAAGATATTGCTGTTCTTAAACTACCCAACTATTTCTAGCTGGTGTTAACATTGAAGACTGACCATGTTGAACGAGAAACGTATAGTGGGTTATCTCCAGTCTTTGTAAATACCTGGGTACAAGAGTTAGCAGTTTAAGAAAAGGTACAGGACACATAGTTTATAAATCAATAAAAAACAGCAATTTTACCTCAAATAATCTTTTTTTTTTGCACTGATTTATAATTACTAGGGTAAACAAAGTTATTTCTTAACCAGTTTCATAATTTTTTATTATTTGTCTAGTAAATAGAGATGTAATTCTTTCGGCGACACAATACAGACAAATTTTTTAATAATACATGGAAATCGGTAAAATTCGTAATAAGCAATTGATGCAGCTAGATTTAAGTTTCTTAATATTTTCTTTTTGTATTGTAAATTTTCAATAACGTTTAACAAAACATTTAGAATCGATAAAGGCTGCTCAAGCATTGACTAAGGTCTTTATTTTGATCGATTGTAATAATTGTGCGTCACACTACAATTAATATCAAATCATAGTAAAAGTGGTACCGAGTAATAACCCTATTCGCAATATTATTTATATTTAAAATATTAATGATATTATTTTATAATACTTATGCATCAATAGAAATCGCATTAATTGAAAATACTTGAGAACACCTCAATCTCTAATAGCACCAATAAAATTATCACTTGTATCTAGCTCTAAAAGATGGGCTATCATAATCTTCGGTTATGAGCTTAATAAATCAAAATCAGGTTTTCAACACTTGAAATACTTCAAGTTCATCAATTAGAAAATTACTATTTTCAGATCTAAGCCGCTTTTCATAATTTTTATCATAATGATAATAAGACCATGATTTAATATCATTGGACATATAAAAACTACTGCCAAAAACTGGACCATAATTACGATTACATCCAATTACTTTATCTGCATGGATAATTCTACTAAGGATGGAATTCGATAAATTTTGGTTTTTTAGTGAAAAAATAAAACTATCTTTTGTTTGTGACCATTTAAGTGGATTATGAGACAGCCAGACCAATGGATTATATCCACCAAGTATTTCACTTGTGCCATTAACCTTTATAATAACTAAGGTGCCAGAAATATTATCACATAACCTATGAAATGTTTCACAAGTAAATCCATCTCTACTTCCTCTAAGAAGTAAATTAAACTTGTAAGGTATTTTTGTAACATCATATGAATGACGATCAATCCAAGATGAAATCTCTGAAAAATGTTCATCATTAATAATAGACGATGGATTAATAAAGTGAACTCCTCGGACAGGAAGTTGAACAGGAAGTTGAACAGGAATTTTTTTACGAGCAGGTAAAATAATCGAAGAAATAGATGCACTAGGTGCCATAATCTTTGTCGAAATATCATCCCATAAGTCTACCCCAAGTATTTGTCGATAAGGTTTAACTTTCGCTACAATATCATCTCCAGACATTTGAAAATATCGAATTAAAGGAATACATTTGTCATGTATAGCTTTTAAATCTAAAAAATCCTTTTCAGTCCATTGTTTAAGATCTGAAGGTAGATCTAGAACTTTTGCTTTTCCCCATTGAATAACCTTATCCCAAATTTCAGATTCTTCAAATTGTAAATCTTCCCTCTTTAAAAGGCTTATCAATGCATTTTCTTGAATAGTAGTAAAGTTATCAGAATCAAAAATCAGGTTAGGATGTTTTGCAAGGATATCGGTACAATACGTTTGTAGCGGCTTAAAATTATTATCTTGAAAACTGGTAGAATAAACTTGGATAAATTTAAATCGAAGCCAAGGAGCCTTGTTATCAATAAGATAAGACTGAATGTATTCAACTAATTCAACTAGACCTAATTTGTTAGATGGAACTAAAAGATCAAATATAGTAGATTCCTCAAAATTTTCCAATAAAATTGTGCCAGTGTAAATATATCTAAAATTTAAAAACTAATTAGTATTTAACTATAAGGAAAATTACCGCTCACAAGGGTTGAAATTCACCAAGTATATTAATTTCTCAAAATTTGAAATAAAGCAAATTATTAAGTGAAAATGTTTAAAACTCTACAGTAAACACCCAAATATCAAAACCAAGCAACAATTCTATCTCTTAATTCTAATTCTAAAATTTCTAGCAAATCTTATATAATAATTTTAAAAAACATATATTAGGGGGTTTCAAAGTTAACAAATAAGTGACGCATTTCGAAAATAAATAGGATTTTTTCAATAGTATTTTT